GGCATCTGTTTCGGGTGCCTCCTGGACGCCTTCCTAGGGAGGTGTTCTGGGCATGTCCCACCGGGAGGAGGCCCCGGGGAAGACCGAGGACACGCTGGAGGGACTATGTCTCTCGGCTGGCCTGGGAACGCCTCAGCATCCCCCTGGAGGTGCTGGAGGAAGTGTCTAGAGAGAGGGAAGTCTGGGCATCTTTGCTTAGACTGCTGCCCCCATGACCCGGTTCCGGATAAGCGGAGGAAAATGGATGGATGGATGGATGGATTCCTGTCTCTCTGAGTGTTCAACTTCTTTATTAGAGCCTTTTTGCTCTTTTCTGATGTCCCACAAAAAAGTCTCTTCCTTTTATTTATGACAGTTTTCAGTTATCTTGTTTCCCAAGTTCTTTAATTAGGAAATAATGACATTTTCTTGGAAGGTCAACAAAAAATTAATGTATGATGAAATGACATCAAATAGCCAGTTTAATTCTGAGTGTGACTGGACAAGGGCATTGCAATCAGTACATTCAAAACCACCTCTTAGGGCCTCGCGGTTCTCTTCTGACTAGACCTTTTTGTTACAGGTTTCTCTTGTTGAACAGTGGCTGGTACACAGGAGCCAAAAGACAGATATGACACACTTTCCTCTCTTCACTCTCCATGCATTTATTTGCCCTCATTGTATGTCATTAACTCTGTGGTTTTGTACCTTTCTGCAGGTGTCGCTGGCTCCGGAGCTGTATGTTTCTGATGAGCAGTCACCGGCCACATCAACCTGCCCAGTGTCTATTTATTCTTTATTGATGCTCTTCTTTTCTCTCACCACATCTGGGTGGAGGCAGATGGCCGCTCACCCTGAGTCTGATTCTGTGAGAGCTTTCTTCCATTAAAGGAGAGTTTTTCCTTCCCACTGCTGCCAACTGCTCGCTCAAGAGGATTTGTTGGGGTTTTATGTAAAGTGCCTTGAGATGATTGTTTGTTGTGATTTGGTACTATAAAAAGAAACTGAATTGGACTGAAATTAAAATATTTATTTTGATTAACCCCTGCAAACTTGCACAAATTTGAAGCTCCAGTTGCAGCCTTGAGAATTAAAGTATGAATAATGCAGGTCTAAGCACAAGAGTCAATGCTTCATGCCTTAAGGAGCTTAAGTTTACATTTCACCTGCTGCTGGTGTCCCCCAGTCACCAGCTCTAGGTGTCTTAAGGAGCATGTTTTTCCTGAATGGAGTGTGACATGCTGACTTATTGACTTAATTAATGGGACACTCATAAAACAAGAGGCACTGGGACAAAACACCATCTTCACAGTTATCAGAGGACTGGATCACTGGCCACTACAAGGTATGAATGCAGAGTTACATGCTTGTGATCTATCTGTTTCACACATGCAAGCTCTCCCTCTCTTACTGTCTCTCTCTCACACAGTATATTCTCTCTGTTTCTCTCTCTCTATTTCTTTATGTCTCCATTGGCCAAAATAAATACTGAGATACAGTACAAAGTACCACATTAACATACTCATGTGACTGTTTTAACATAACCAGTTTAACATTGTTTGTGTTTGTTTGTTTAATAGATGTTTACTTGCAGAACTTTAAGTAAGTCTCATATTCTATTGGGAAAATGCTTTGTTATGGCTTGTTCGAATGCTCAAAGAGTGGTTGAGAGAGGCAGAAAATAGAAGAAGAGGGACAGAAAAGGCAAACGTGGAAAAAGAAAAGAACAGGAAGTTCAAAACAACTTGGAGGGAAAGGCATACGCATTAAAATATACACATTCAAACTGCTACTTGGGTAAAAGTATATAAGCATCAATCGGGTGGCATATTTTTGTCCGAACCCAACCTGTGTCAGAGAGTATGGCATCCAATTCTGAGCCGGACCCAAAAAGTTTATAGTGCATAATGTCCAAAGCTGACCCGAGCCTGCTGCAGTTGAGTTAGTACAATGTTTGTCCCCTTATCATTAAACGAAACACATATTTGAGTGCTGTCTAGGCTAAAGTTTGACCTACGTGCCTGAACCTGATCCGAACCCAAATGTAATTTCTAAATTACTGTCCAAACCATCAGGTACTGACAGGTCTCATCAGGCTCAGTTCGGGTATCCATTTCCAGTGGTCTACTGTAAAAATCTGCCTGTTATGTCAAATCTACATTCTGCGGTACAATCAAATTTTTTTTCCTGAGCCCAAGAAATGTAAAATTACACGTGTTTCTGGCAGCTACACAATCCCACACCAACATAGAAAACATATTTATTTATTTACATTACCGATCAACATTTATACTGGAAGAATATGAAAACACAGAAACAACAACACCAGAATGAATGAGCCTAAAACTTATATTAGTTCATAGATTTACACCTCTTTTTTCCAATAAATAAACAAATATGTCTAACACATTGGTCCAACCAGGCTGAGATCTGGTGACTGCCAAGGCCATGACCATGAATCACATAGTTTTCATGCTCATAAAACCATCCAGTGACCTCATATAAACAATGGTAAGGGGCATTCTGGAATAGATCAGTCCAATCAGGATAGAAATGTTTCATCAGGATTCATCATAAGATAAGGTGATCACTTAGAACATTTTGTATTGATTTGCTATCCATCTATATGTGTGTGTGTGTGTGTGTGTGTGTGGAGGTGAGTGGGTGTGTGCATATGTATCTTTATGAGATACACTTTCAAGAAAACAATGGCATCACACAGTATCATCCTCCATATCAAGGCCTATTCAGTTCAGTTTCAGTCCACTCATTTACAGGACACTGAATAACCTGTACAAAATGTACAAAAGGAAAAATACAGCAACATCAGAAATATACACAATTAATCCTTCATGTGACAGCATTTCATCAGTAGCGCCTTATAACAACGGGGATAAATATCTCTGAGATTATATTTATAGTTACCACAGTACTTGTCCCATTTCAGAAGGGTTCCTGAACATGCTATAGTGGAGAAAACTACTTTTTTGCTTGTTACTACACAAAATCAGCAAAGAATGTTAATCAGTTGTGGAAAAGTGCAATTGTTTTGTCCCTGTGGATATCAAAAAAAAAAAAATTTAAAATCAAGTGCTTTAAGAGAAAACTGATTGTAAGACTGAATGTAAGACCAAGTGCTTCGTTGCAGGGCAGCCTACATATTCTTCTTGTCTACCTGATCGGCAGTGTTGATTAGACTAAAGGGGGTTAAATTCGTTCTTGGCAGTAAGTGGTGCAATTACCCCATATTAGTCCGGGTACAAAAGGAAACCGGAAAACGTGCTGTATTTGTTGTTGTTCCCACCGTGCGCCTTGCCACCGTCCAGTTTGACATAAATCTCGTCGCCAGAGTCCAGATGCAGGACAACGCTGTTGCTGGCGTAGTCGTAGTTCTGGTCGGCATCCTGCGCTATGGCACTGGCTCGGACCTGCAGATTAATTAAGAGCAAAGAGCTTTTACCCTGCAGGCTATGGTATAAATGCCCCCTTGTCGCCAGATGTAGCCTGCGTGTTTACATTGCAGCAGGACCGATCGAACAGAACAGAACCTGAAAGTACTCAGATATTAAAGCCCCTGACATTTCTGACATTGCTCAAGAGAAACGGGCCACGGAAAAGCAGGAAGTGGACGAGCAAGTGGATTGTTTTGGAGGCGAGTTACTTTTCAGTGACCCACCCTGTACACTGCAAAAAATGGTTTTTTGACCCAGTAAATATTACTCTAATAATATGTTTAAACTTTACAAGAAATTCTCGTGTTTGTAAATTTAATTCAGAATTTCACCTCGAATTTAATGTGATACTTGATGTTTGTATGTAATTTTCTATAATCGTTTATACAAGTAATATTAACTACACTAATGCATTGCCTGCCTTAAGTTCTTCAGAGGAAGTAAACTTTACTTGGCTAATGCGAGCAAATCTGGCAACCCTCTCCAAACTCGTTGGGTGACGTCACAGGGAGTTTGCGCTCCAAACAAACCAGGACTTTTTGAATGGCGGCTGAGTTTGAGAGGGACATATACAGACGACTGTTTGGATTTTTTTAATAGGAAAATTGTGACTGTGGCTGCGAAGGTAAGTATGTTTGTGTTCTTGGTTATTTTACTGTTCTGGTAGCTTGTCAACTGAAGTCACCGTTTGGTTAATAAATACTTAACATTGTTATTCGATGTAGCCTTAGTGCTCAACATTAGCTAACTAGCGGTTAATGTCATGCACTTGACCCAAAATAATTTACCAATAAGCTAACGCCAGTTCGTTACCTTTGTGGTTAAAGACCTTTTTTGCAGAAAATATAACGTTGCTTAATTATTTTAGTGGCATATTGGTGGCTTCACGCGCACTTTCCGAAAGCCGATTATGATCTGTCACGATAGCTGGTCGCATCTAACTTTACATATTTCCAGTCTGGCTCTGTCTCTGCTGCCAGTCGGCAGAGAAAATTGTCAAGTGTGTGCTGTAAAGTTATGTAGCCAGCGGATCTGGGCCGATTCTGGCTAAGTGTCGGCACACTTGGTTGAATTCCGGCATTGGCTCACCAACACTGAGTTAGATCTGGCCCAGTATAGGTTGCCAGATTTGGTTGTGTGGATTTGGGCCAGTTTCGGTTGAGATATGGCATGTGGGCTGAACATATGAGAAATCCTTCTATCAAAGACTAGAAGTGGTCAAGCATTGCCCTGCTGTCCAAGACTTCACTGAGAGATGCTCTGTTAAGTGAAGCTCAGGTAAATGTGGTCCTTTGTTTCATCAGCTGATGCTGTGATTGTTGTATACAGGTTGCAAGATAATTAGTAAAGTGCACTCAATCCCCCAGTTTATTTGATACTCCTTGCTAATACAGCCCTAGACATTCTACATTCACTGAGGCTATGGTGAGTTTTATTTTAAATGCTTTAGAGAGGTGTTATTTCAACTTGATGGTCATTTTACAGGATGTAATTTATTGTATTGCATTACACAGCTCACATCCTGCCTTATGAGCATATAACACCTCTCTGAAATGGTTTGAACCAAACTGTACATTGTCACCTTCCAGAAGGAGAATCTGCAGTATCTGTAAAAAGTGTTCACCACCTTGGATGCTTTCATTATTAGATTATTGTGTTTTATCACCTTTTGTTTCAGATCAAAGAAGAGTTCAGAAGGATAACAGCAATACATCTGGGGTGGACCTTTTTCTCAAAACTGGACCTCGACACCCCCAAACTTCTGGAGATATTTAATAGTGACACTCATTTCTGTAGCATTGATTTCAATTTATAACAGATCGAGAACATCAGAACATTTTTTAGTGTTTGTAAAAATTCAGTTTAGGGCTCAATATTAGACATATGGCATTTTGATGTTTTTGGGAAGGTAAACGAGATGCTGTCATCCGCTGCTTGATAGAGTTCCTCGAAGAGTCTGGAGGACCTTATCAAAGATTACCAGGTACATTTTGACATTTGCTTTCTGATGATTGTTGTCAATATTCAACTTTGGTTTTAATATCTAAACAGTAAAAATTTGTACCATTTCATTTATTCATTGATTTTTGTCATTTATTTCTGCTGTCCCTGTTATTTCTGACTCGAGTGACATTTTATGTTTATGAATTTGAGCCTGCAAAACCCAAAACCTACTGCTTCTGTGAAAAGTATTCACCATTGGGGGTGAATAATTAGACACTGTCCATTGTTGTGTTGAATCCAATATACTCAGCTGTTTCACTTCTTTCTTGGAACACAGCAGATGTACCTTCATGCTTAAAATCTTGCTTGATGGATTAGTGACTACTTAGCGCACATTTAGTCAGTGTTTGGTTCCTAGCTTTGTATTTCTATTCCATCATTGTATGTATAGTATTAAATGGCCAGTTTAATCAAGACTTCTATTGCATAATCAAGAAGTTTGAAAACAACATGTACAGTATATGCATCTGAGTACAGATACTCATGTTTTAACAGGATGTCACCAAAGAAACTGTCAAGGAGGGCTATGCCAAGCAAGTGTTTCAGAAGCTCTTTCTTGAGCTTGATGTCCTTAAGATATCTCCCAAAGTCCAGTCTTTGCAGAAAAAACTTCTAGCATACTTTCCTGGGTTTAAGTTATGTGAGTGATTTACATCCTGTTCTCTTTCAAAGCCTTTTCACTTTAAGGCAACAAGAAAATGTTTTTGTACACTGTACTGAAGGTCAAGCTCTCTTGAAGTGTTAAATGTTTTTACCAATGTTGAGATGAAAAGGAATTGGCCCAAGACGGCAAATGTCTTTGTAAACTACATTTACTCACTGTAAGCCGAAATTGTTCCAAAAGGTACTTTGGCTGCACAGTTTTGTGTATGGGTGATCATGTTATTCAGTGGCCTGCTTTCTGTTCCAATACACCCTTAAAGTATCTCTTTCTCTGGACTTTGTTGATCTTAAAATGACCAACTACCAACTTTACTAATTGCTTAATTACTTCTGGCCTATTGGTAGTAGGTTCCTAGTGAACCATAATTATGGGGCTCATAACAATTGATAACTAACCATCAAAAGGCATGATAAGTCACATCAGCAGGATTTTAGGTGCTGTGTTGTCTATTAATTCACCAGTCTGTGTTCGTTGTGAGTTAAGGTGTTACTTGGAAGCTTATAGCACATAATAAAGATGCTGCTGTCTTTTTTATGTTGGTGTATTTTTGTTTTTAGAAAGGCTTATTGTTATACTTATAAATTATAACTCAATTTGAAGTAAACATTACTTAAATATAACTGGAATAAAAGTGAACGAAAGCAGGTATTTATGCAAATGCATTCTAAATAAAAAATTACTAAGAAAGAGTAAGATTTAGTACCAGTAACAGAAAATTTCAAGTAAAGTTTACTTGAATACATCTATAGAAACTACTCTGTGTCTTTATCCCATGTAAAATTTACTTAGAATTTGTGCGTGGGAAAAGTTGCCTAGGTTTTTTTTAAAGTAAATTTCACTCCCAATTTTTTGCAGTGTATTATTTTAATTATTGTGAGCGCGTAATTTGTCTCCGTGGCTCTGTTGCGCACCGATTGACACAAGAGTCAAACATCTTAACTAATCATAGCCCGTGTACAACAGATTTTAAGGGCGCACAGATGGAATATATAGGCCTACCTGTCCGTTTTTGCATAAATCTGCCCACATGCTTGTGCCATCTCCTCCGCGCATCAGGATATGATAGATGAAGTAGTAAATCCCAGACACCTGGCATGTGAACTTGCCCGTTTTCGGGTCATAGTGGTTCCCTAGGTTCGTGACAACGTCGTCGAACTTTAAAACTTCGTATCCCTCGTGAGGGTTTTTAAGACCCACATAAAATGCTATCTTTGCTCGGCCAATAGCAGAGCCTAGGTCGCCTCCGGTCAGTGTCCGCGCTGTGCCCACTACTCCGGAATACCCCATATTCCCAGAATCTCCTTTGTCCCCCGGAGGTCCTCTTGGACCAGGGGCCCCCGGTTCGCCTGGCGGGCCTCTCGGTCCGGGTTTCCCAGGCCGACCCGGTTGGCCTTTAATCCCTTGAACAAAGGTCGGATTAGGGATGGCACTCATGTCTTGCATAACCTCCAGAGCTGTGGCACTCGGTTTGGTGTTGTATGGATCACAGATCATCCGACAGGTGCCCATCATCTCGTAGTGCGCGTCGGTCTTGGGAGTTTGGACTAGCAGGGGAATCACGATGATGAGAGCCAAAACCATGACTATGGCCACTGTAGCGGCGGCGATTCTCTTCCTCTGGAAAGTCCGAGAAGCGAGCGCTAAAACGTCTGTTTTGCTTTGGGACGTAATGATGGAAGGTGGTGAGAGCGCAAAAAGCGAGTGGACCAAAACTGAGTTCTAGGCTACTCACACCCAGAGTTTAGGGGAGAGAGAGAGAAACGAACGCGTTAAAGCCAGTTCTCCCTGCAGCGTTAAGCGCGGTGCCACTGTCACTTGGCTTCATTCAGCTGACAGGGGGAAATGCTCGTTTTGGCATTGGTGGACGCGGTGGATCTCCGAGCACAGACACTTCCAGTGTGTTTTATTCCGCTGCAACATTAGAGAGGGGAGTCGAGAACCGCTGACGTAACAAATTTACAGCAAAGCCACAATAATCATGTCACATCTCCATGTATGAAATAGAAATTCCTCTGCATAGCTCCAATGGAATAGAACGAATTACACTGAATTTATAGCAGACTGTAAGACGTCCTTTTTATTAATCTTCCTCATCTACAGAAAAATACATCTTATTGTCTTTGAGGGACTGAATAGATGAATTCACATGCAGCTGTTCAAATGTGCAGTTTGCATGAAAAGCTGCGTCCAGATAAAATATACTTGACTTTTACTCCGGACTTCTAAAATGATTTTCATTTATTTTAAATGCCAAAGGGTTTTACAGTGGAGAGGCTTCACGTCTGCAGCATTTCAACCAAACATTAAATCACTTTCGTTGCGCACTGTGGACATTTCTTAGAAAAAACCTCTCAAGATGCTTTGATTGGAACATTACAGACAATGCAACTCTAGTTCTAGTTCGTTTTGTACCTATATGCCATTCGAATTGAAAAATAAATGAGTACTGAGATTAACTATAAAATGAATTTCTATATACACAGTGCATGCAGGCTATATACTGTGTGTAGCTTACAGATCTGGGCCATTTGCATATGTGATCCTAGATCCAGTCCATATTACAGCTCTGACAAAGGCCGTATTTGGAAACTGAGGGGGCCATAAGTTTGGCAGGGGCACAGCCTGGGGGTCCCACTGTTAGGTTCACTCTTTATGGCGTCAGAGTAATCAGCTGGGGTTGAGAACAGCTGTGTCCTGCACCTGGGATGTCAGTCTGTAACAAGAACAGTAGGCAGAGAGGGAGACGACACGGAGCACACCTGACACCCACCACCCCTGAAAACACATTAAAACATTTCCATGTGTTATAACACAAACTGCAAGAACCTATTATTGTTATTGATTCATTAATCCTATTAATGTTTTATAAATATTTGAATGAGAAATACACTCCTGAACAACACTAACGCTCACCTGGTCATCTCTCTCTGCCTGGCCTGGGCTTTGTCTCTGCCTCTCTCTGATGGACAACCACAATGCAACACACTGTCACATCTGGAAGTTCTTTAATTACGTCATTTTTTAACAATTACATCAGAAGGATGTGCTCAGTGACACAGCATTAATGCACACTGCTCTGCCTCTCTCTACCTGTGCTGACAGTGACTAAGTGATACACCTCAGCTTAACCAAAGCCCACGCTGTTCGTGCACTTTGACTGAGCAATGGAAGACACACGTTTAAACAAACCATAAATCAGAAGGACGTACTCTCTGAGGTAACATTACAGCTGAAGGTACTAATTCCTACATGTTCTTCTCTTTTTCCGTCCTGGCAGGTGTTTTTGTCTTTTTCTTTTCCCGTTTCTTTCTGGCGTCTGTATTAACCACAACGATAAATGAGAATGAATGAAATGTCTAATTCACTATGGAAATGACTGCGATGGACCGGAGGCCTGACCAGAGTGTACCCCGCCTTTTGCCCGATGCCGGCTGGGATTGGCTCCACCCCCCGCGACCCCGTTCGGGACTCAGCGGTATAGACAATGAGGTGAGACTATGGAAATGAAGGGAACTTCTGATTTGTGAGGCAACTGAGAGTAAGGTTTAATAAAAGGTTCTGGTCACAAGACTAAAGGAAAATACACCAGGCTCCTCCAGACACAAGGTAACAGAGAACACTGAGATGAAATGAAATCATTAAATCACTCAGGGAGTAAGTTCACACAGAGAAGAGGAACAGACTGGTGAGTAGAGTAGATACAGGGCTGGAGACGATTCACTCAGCGACGAGGGACAGGCAGGTGAAGGGGGCTGACACTCGGATGAAGGCAACTCACTCACCTGGGAGGAACTAGACTAGGACTAGTTCGGGTGTGAGAGAATTAATGTGGGACTGTGGTTTTGGACAGCTAACGTAGGATTTGGAACAACTGTGGGACACTGACAAATGTTAAATTCGAGCCCTGGAGTGAGTATCAGGACGAAGACAATATTTGAAAACCAAAGATGCTTTGAACGTAATGAACGCAGAATGAGCGAGCGCTCGGTTATCGATCCATCGAGTCTTGGCATCTGAACGTTTTCGACTGATCTGGCCTTATTGGCTCCAGGTGACTGAGCGCATTCTGGGTGTTAGCGCTTTAGTTTTTGTTGGACATGTCTGAAGTCGTGGTTACTGTTCGTTTGGTGAGATCCTTCGAGCACAGAAACTTCAGACCAGTCGTGCTTCACGGAGTCAGCTTGGACCAGACAGTGCACGAGTTTATACAGCTGGTTAGAGACGGTAAGTAAACGGCTCGACAGGCTGTGACACATCACAACGTATTATATGTTAATAGCAACAGAAAGTAAGTAACACTTGTGGTTAACGACAACTGTTTTCCCCCAGATATTGCAACAAGACCCGGGCTTCCTCCGCCTTTCAGGAAATATGCGTATGGTAACTGTTGGTGTGGCGAATCCGCCATAATATCCCTTTTCTGCACATGTATTTTGCTGCTGTAGTAATTGATTGTTCAAACTACATATTGTAAAGTGCATTAACATTACAGTGAAAAACATTCTGGTCTGGGAGTGCGATACCGTGAGAGCTTGTTGGGCACACAAGCCAAACATTTCAGTCTCATTTCACACAGTTTGAATATATGTTTTAGTTATATACGGTATTAATAGTGTCAGTTTCTTTTGGCCATCATAAGCAATCTGAGCTCACAATAATACCTAATGACCTCTCCCCACCCACCACAGGTTATGATTAAACCCCTAAATCTGTCCGTTATATGGCAACATCAATGCCCTGCATCTGATTTGATTCTCCTGCATTTCAGACACAATGAAGATTATCCATCAAGCACACGGAGCCAAGGTAGGTCTATTTATCAGAAGTGTTGCACAATTCAGTTTCAGAAGGGGCCAGATTGAGAAGTGATTGAAAGGTTTGTGTTTAGTGGCATATGGCACACATGAAATGGTATGTCACTGGTCTCCTGAAATGGACCTCTTCTAAACGCAGAGAATACCAGGTTTGAGCTTGCATACCTGAGACTTTCAATTTGGTTCAACTCGAGATTTGCTGCTCAGCTTTGGTGGTCGTACCTTTTCACAACTGTCACTTTGACTGATTTATGTATTTGATTTATAAATGAAATGGGGTGGTAAGGACCCAAATGCAGTGCTGTTTACTGAACAGAGCAAACACTTCAGTAGCTTAAGCTGGCCTTAGACTAGAAGACAGAAACGGTCACTATTTGTAAGACTGCAAGTAGATTTCTCTTGAGACTGCTTCTCATATGCTCCTGCATTGGCTGCAGCTGCACGTGTGATTGCAGTGTTTTTCTTTGAAAAAAACCCAGATTGACTGGAAGGGGACATCTGCTCTGCTCTGTTGTGGTACAAATCAGCTGAAGAAGCTTTATTTTATTGTCATTGTGACATGTACAACGAAATTATGTTTGGAGCCAAGGGCCCTAGACCGCTGCGTGCATACGCGCCACTTGGGGGTTAAGTGTCTTGCCCAAGGACACTTCAACACATGGACTGCAGGCACTGGGATTTGAACCTTCAATCTTCTGGTTGGGAGATGACTGCTCTACCCACTGCACCACTATCGCCCCTTAGTTAAGATGTCAAACAGACAATCTTGCTCACTCCACCAGTTTTCTCCTCCTTTGTAATGTTCCAATGGAACGCACAGAGTCACCGTAGTCTCATTATATTTACCCATAGATTTAATGTATTACTGCTTTTTCTGTGCTTGCAGTTCTGCTTCCTGTTTGGTGCTGGGGAGAGCTCATCTATTGGTTGTTAACGATGTTCACGTCACTGTGTGGGCACGGTGGTTAGTGCTGTTGCCTAACAGCAAGAAGGTTCTGGGTTTGATCCTGGGCTGACCTGGGGCCTTTCTGTGTGGAGTCTGCATGTTCTCCCTGTGCCTGCGTGGGTTCTCTCCGGGTGCTCATGTTTCCTCCCACAGTCCAAAGACATGCAGCTCAGGCTGACTGGCGACTCTACATTGCCCGTAGGAGTGAGTGTGTGTGGTTGTCTGTCTTTAAGTTTCAGCCCTGTGACAGACTGGCAACCTGTCCAGGGTGGACCCTGCCTCTCGCCCAGTGCCAGCTGTGATTGGCTTCATTTCTCACTCCTGCATCTAATTCAGTCTGTGTGTGTGGTGGTTGGGGGGGTATATTCAGAGATCCTGGAATGCACAATGAGGAGCAATTGTTGAGGCTTATTACAAAGATTCACAGAACTTTTTTTGAGGAAAAACTGTGCTACACTATATGTTGTTTATAGCAGAGTATTTTTTATATGCAAATCTAAATATTAAAATGTCTCTGGAGTGGAAGTCTGTCTTTGACTTCTTGCCTAACCATAGCTATCTAAAGACGTGTGACTAATCTTGGGTACCTCTAGATTAGCTTTGCACCCATCATAACTCCAAATAATCTGTAACACTAAAACCAGAGAGTAATTAACTAAACAGCTTTTGAAACAGGCAGAACATAAACTTGCACAAATGTAACATCTTCACCACTTTCCCCGTGGTCCTGTTAGAAATTAATAAATCAGTCAGATAATTATTAGACTTTAACATGTTAGACTTTAATGTGTTATTAATGCAGTTTAGTAAGATTGAAAGTTGCTCTAGTCTGCTCTGTTTCAAGGTTAGCAGTAAGCCATGACACCAATTGTTTTTTTGTATTAATCTTGTGTTAGATTTATGTCTGAATGATTGTTTTAGTTACGCACCACATAACAATATCCACACACATTGAGCTACCTCATTTTGTTATGA